CCCGGAAGTAGACTTCCTGTCCCCAATAGAGCCAGCCCAATCTGCATCAGTATATCCTTCAACTTCAATTTTATTGTTTTTCCTAAACAGAATCCCTTTCCCCAAGCAAGACTTCAAATATCTGAGGATCCTTTCCACAGCTTTCATGTGAGGGATTTTAGGAGTGTGCATGAACTGACTGACAACATGTACAGCATAAGCAATGTCAGGGCGAGTGAGGAACATGTAAATCAACTTCCCCAGCAGCTTTTGGTACCTTTCCTTATCAAGGTAGTCCTCTCCTACTGACTCTTGTAGACCATGGTTCTGTTCTATTGGAGTATCTACTGACCTACACCCCATCATGCATGTCTCTTATAGAAGATCAAGGATGTATTTCTGTTGACATATATAGATGCCCTCTTTGGATCTAGCAACTTCAATCCCAAGAAAGTATCCTAGTTGGCCCAGGTCTTTGATCTCAAATTCAGCAGCCAAGGCCTCCTTTAGTCTTTTAATCTCTTCATGATCATCCCTTGTAATTACCATATCATCCACATAGACAATAAGTGTTGTAAGTTTGCCATTTCTCTTCCTTATGAACAGGGTATGATCTGCCCCACTTTGAGTATAACCCCCTTTCTTCATGGCCCCACATAGCTTCTCAAACCAAGCTCGAGGGGACTGCTTAAGACCGTATAGAGCTTTTCTCAGTCTACATACCTTCCTGCCAAACCCATAACCTGGTGGAGGATCCATGAATACCCATAACCTGGTGAAGGATCCATAGAGCTTTTCACGTCCAACTGATGTAGCTCCCATGAGAAATTTGCAGGTAATGATAATAGAACTCGGATTGTGTTGAGTTTTGCTACCGGAGCAAAGGTTTCTTTGTAGTCAATCCCTTCTTTTTGAGTAAACCCTTTTGCTACCAGTCTAGCCTTGTACCTTTCAATGGGCCCGTCCTCCCTATGCTTCACAGTGAACACCCACTTGCATCCAACAGTGCCTTTCCCTTCTGGTAGATCCACTAATTTCCATGTCCCTGCTTTCATTAAGGCCTTCATTTCTTTGTCCATAGCCTCTTTCCATTTTGGATCAGATACTGCCTCTAAATACCTAGTAGGGACATGCACAGAAGAGAGAGCAGACACAAAAGAACAATAACGAGGAGACAAATGTGAGTAAGACACAAAATCAGCAATGGGGTGTCTGATAGTACAAGAACGGGTAGACTTACGAAGGGCAATAGGAAGATCCAAGTCAGAGGAA